TGCTAATAAGTATCATGAGACTTGGGAGTAATTTGAAAAGGGGAAAATATCAGCTAAGGACTTTCATGGCATTTTAATATTAAAAAAGGATCCTAAAAATATAAATGTCGTTGCACCTATTGTGACATACCTGAAAATAACATTTTTGGGAAGACTTAATTACCCTTGTAGCGTTTTATAATTCTTATTTCAGTATAACTAACAAAGCATTTTAATAAAAATTCAAATATTAAAAATTTCAATATTTACAATTCAAATTTTCATAAGTACATGTTGAGTTAGTGTCATTTACAAGTTAAATTTAACACTTAAATGCTAAAAAGTCAAATTTTATATTTACAAGGTGAATTGTGTCATTTACAATAGATCATGTTTGTTTTTTCTACAATTGTACGAGTTTAGAAAACTTGTGAAAAAAACACATGATTAATTGCAAATGACACAACTCTGGCTTATAATATTTGAATTTAAAAAATTATTAAAGTAAAATATATTTGTTTGTCCCTAAATTATTCTAGTGTGAGTGACTAGTATCCTAATTTTTTTTTTTTTGCAGTGCAATGTTTTCTTTTTTAGTATTCAAAATTACTTCAATTTTACCAATTGTTAAAAATGTTAAATTTGACTGTTAGTTAATTTAAAAATTTACATAAAAAGACATCAAAAGTAACATTAAAAGACCTATAAAAAATTAATATCAATTAAATTTTTTAAATTAAAAATAAATTGCAAGATACTAATGTTCTTTCATAATCATATGAAAGACCAAAATACCATTTTGACCAGCCATATTGGCCAATTACTGGGTGATTATTGTAACATCCCCTCTACCAATCATATTCATACTTAACCATTTAAATTCATGATAATCAATGAATTAACTCATTTAGGAGATTACCAAGTTTTTATTTTAAAAATAAAGGATCTCAAATTTTCATAATCAAAATGAGTTTAAATCATTCATAAATTCTTATATCAGAGTAAAAAAAACTTGTTTGCTGCAAAACAGGATAATGTGCCATGACTTGTGTACTTTGCACTGCAGCATGTTGCTATCTGTGCCACGCACCGTTGCTCAAGCACCAATGCATCGCAGCGTGTTGCACATTTTATGACAATAGATTCTGTTGTCATTTGACAGCAGAATCAAGCAACTTTCGACGCACCTCAAATATTCGTCCGACGTTCGAATGACATGATCTAGATGTCTACGAAAAGTTTTTTTTATAAACTAGATAATGGCATGAGTTTTACTTCCAAAACAAGTCACACTAAGAAGTTTGACATCCAAACACATTTTTACCACTTTTCACAACTTTTCATAGTAAATGGGTGTCCAAAACCTAAGACAAGTGCCAAAAGCCCTTCCTAACACCTAGATCATACTTATTGGACCTAAGACAGTAAGCACAATACGTCACATGCACACAATTACTCGTATAACACAAAATCACTCCTCAATCCTTTTTATACCAAAACAGAAGGAGGAGGAAATTCATTGCATTGCATTCAAGAATCGACCATATTATGATCAAAGTAACATTTCTATACTTACACTAATATTTTAGCCCTATCAGTTTAAATAACTTATAATATACAACTATTCAGGGTCCAAAATACAATTCAGACATTTTAAACAACTTAAAGTGCAAGCGTGAACAAAATGCACTCTAGAATTGGCGATGATATTCTCTTACAAAAAATAAACATATATTAAAGGCATACGATAGAAATGTACTAATGCTTAAGCCTCATGAGCTTTGTCCCTCTTAACACTAGAGCTAGAGCCTAAGTGTTAAATGAAACGGGGTGAGCCTAGTTGTTTAGACATGTGATCATGACCCAATATATCAACATGACTTGCCGCAACTTAACATGTGACATGTCATATACTTACATAGGCAATGATCAACAACCTTATACCTTTCTTATTTTCTTTGACTAAAACTATGGGCTATGAAATTAAATAGAGCTTTGTTTATATGATTGGACTATCCAGGCTCACCATTTGTGAGGTGTGACTTAGCCAAAGATCACATGACTCACCCTCAGACCACGGCTTCCCCCACTCTCAAATCTCTAAGGTGTTGTATATCCTAAACTATTCTCCTTGATAAACTGGTGGAGAAAATTAGGTTCTAATTCCTTGACAAACTGTGAAATAAGGGTATACCCCAATGTATTAGAGGGCAACTTAAATACCATATAAATTTTTCTCTACTCTTAATCCTTAGATGAACTCCTGCCTATTGATCATGTCATATACAATGCTCACTTTTTATTCACATTCTCATTTATTTATTATTACAATCATTACGTTGAGCTCACGATTGTGCACTACCCAAGTGAGCACCAATACTCATTTTCACATACATTCATTATTTTCAAACTCAACATATACATCTTTGTTAGTCTCATCATCAATTATTCATCCAAACCACATTATAAAATGCAAATCATTCCATAATCATTTTCACATGTTTAATACAAATCAAAGCAATTATGTAAACACAAAGTTTCATTTCATGTTACACTATTTACAAGTCACAATTTGCATGTTAAACACATAATTCATCTCATATTACAATTAACATACAACTATCCAAAATAAGGTTCTCCCAGTTACATCAAACCTTTAAAAGGTCAAAAATTTATCCCTCAATATTATAACTTCCAAGCTTGAATTCTCAAGTTAAATTGGTGTCCAAGAGCTCAACTACAATTATCAATTCTTTAACTCATCAATATTGCTAAACACACACATTTCAATTCTCATCTTCCACTCCTAAATTACCCAATGCCTAATTTGTATAAGTTTAGGCCCACTCATTAAGTTTATTAACTCTTTTTAGACTCCAATAATATTAATGAGCCATTAGACTCACATTAATGGTATTACACTCTTTCAACAACCCTCATTAATGTCATTTTCACATAATAATGAGATCCAACCACCAAAACTGCCAAAACCCAATATATCTAAGTTTAGATACTATAATATATTCTCATTAATTTCATTTGAGTCAATAAATTTGGATTTATAACCTATATGGACTTAAAATCATCTCCCATTATCAAACCCTAACTATAAACTTCATAAATGTGAAAGAAATATGAAGAAATGAGTATAGGGTAATTACCTTTGATGTTTAGTAGCCTCAAAATGCTCTTAATATCATCCAAAAATAAATCCTAACAGAGCTCCTCATCTTCTCCTTCTTCCTCTACATTTTCATTCTTAGTTCGCAACTTGAAACAGTAAAAATTGGGCTATGTGCCGTAGCGGATGCTTAACACGCTGTTGCACATGGCACAAAGAGATCTCCTCTTGTTCCATTATTTGTTTGTGTGCCGCAATATGTGGCACAGTAACACTTCATCTTTGTTTTCTTCTCCTTTTGATGTTCAGATGGCCCAACTTCATACTGAACCCACAATTAGGTCTAAAACACAATTGAAGCTAGTCATTAGACCTCCCTAGCCACACACCACTACAATCTACTTAATTACCATAATTAAACTTAGTTAATTAGGGGATTAAAATTCGGGATGTTACAATTATCACATAATCATTGTGGGAAATAACATTGATAAAAATTATTAAATAGTAAATTATTAATGTCTTAATATGATATTATTAAAATAAATATATTATTTTTAATTAATTATCAATGTTGTTGCCAACAATAATGGTCTAATAATCATTTAGTAGCCTGTCTAAGTAGTTAGTTGAATTGTAATTTTTTGGTTTGTTTTATCTCTTGGTATTCATTTATAATTTATAGAATTTAATCAATATTAAATTTCTTATGAGATACTTATTTATAATTTTTGAATATTTTTATAATTTTAAGTCATTTATTGTAATTTTTTTAAGTTAACTAAAAGTTAAAGTTAACGTGTTAATGATAGGGTTGATATTGCATCGTTATTATTTGTTAAAGGAAAACATTGTATTGCAAAAATTTAAAATATCAGATGTTTCTGTATGAATAGTTAGGTGGCATAAATGCCTTTAAACCCAAAATATTTTTACCAAAGCAGAGTTTGCTTCAATGTGAGATTTTCTTCATCTAACATCTTCTAACATGTCACTCCGCTCAAGTCTTTATAAAATAGAATATATATTTTACTCAAAGAAATTTAAACCATGTCATCACTTCGTTACAGGTTTTTTTTTTTTTTTTTTGAGGAGAAGGTGTCTCCATTTTCTTTCTTTTTCCTCTCATCATTTTTGGATCAAATTTTTTTAATAATTCAGATTTAATTTTTGATAAAATTATTATTTTAATTTCATATAAAATATATAAATAAAATATTATAATTTTAAATTATTTTGATTAAATTTAATAGTTCAAATTTATTTATACATCTTTGTATGAAATTAAAATAAAAGTTTTATTAAAACTTAAATCTGAACCTTTGAAATTTTAATCTAAAGGTAATGAGAGGAAAAAGGAGAAGATGGAAAGAAGGTAAATGGAGGCACCTTCTAACAAGTTAACTCGTGAGTTTAATAATGATGCTCCCAAGACCAAAAACTAATCAATTCGTCAGTACATCTTACAATTGAAACTAGGCGATTATAATAACAAAGTAAAAAGGGAAAAGTTACTTGCCTCTATTCCAATAATAATAAATAATAATAAATCCCGTTTCACCCTTTCTACATCAATCTCTCGTCGTATCTGGGTGCGTATAATATTTCTGCATCAATCTCTCGTCGTTTCTGCACATTAGCTAGCCTTACATTATAGTAGTGCACCGTCTGCAAGTGTAGTGTTACGGCATCGATTGCATCCCACAAATATTAAAAAGATCCGTTGGTGGAAAGTATAAGTTTATGCACTCATTAATTATTCGAATCTTGAACTAACATCATAATAGGGATTAGAATATTTAATTACTAACATCTCTGATTTCATCCGACATGTTAGGCATGTGAAAGTGAAGGTGAAAGTGAAAGTGCGATGCTCCTTATGAAGGCAAAAACCACACAATTGATTGAAACCGAATATTAATTACTATCAAACGAAAAACAAATATGACAGAAACTAAATGTTACTTGGTATTTTCTTGTTTCTTTTTTTGAGAACATAGGATCCATGCCTCTTGAACAAGAGGAGGAAAAACCTATGTAAGGCCCTGCTATATATAACTGAGACACAATTGAAACTGATTGCTTTGTGCCTTCACTAACGATGGCACAAATGCTTATTCTGAAACACCATTAATACTAAAACACCCTGGAGGGAGACAAAATTTATAAAGCCGGGTGATCCAATGTTGGATTTAAGCAACAGATGCAATGTGGGCAATCAAGTCAATCACACGGGTACTGCAAAAAGAGACAAACAAAAATGTTGTGAATGTAACATATTTTCAAATCTGAAGAAGGTTCAAAGGTAGTGATGGAAATAAGGATTAGAGGAATTACCTGTAACCCCATTCATTGTCATACCAAGCAACAAGCTTTACAAAGTTCTCATTCAAAGAAATTCCAGCCTTGGCATCAAATATGCTTGACCTGCATGAAAGGAACGTCATTTTCAGTGTGGCCCCACTAGCTAGTCTGAGGTCCAAAGAATGATTCAAATGAAAAAATTACCTGCTGTCACCAACGAAATCAGTAGACACAACATCATCTTCAGTGTAACCCAAGATTCCCTTTAGGCTACCTTCTGATTGCTCCCTGTGTATTGTCATCAACAGAAAGGTTTAGAGAATGGAAATGTTTCTAGATTCGCCATATGTTACTGCCATTTCAATTAGCAAAAAGTAATCAGACTTCAAATATTAAGAAATAAGAACTTACTTAATAGCAGCTTTGATCTGCTCATAGGTTGCCTTCTTCTCTAGCCTGACAGTAAGGTCAACAACCGAGACATCAACGGTAGGGACTCGGAAAGACATTCCAGTCAATTTGCCATTCAGCTGGGGCAGAACTTTTCCAACAGCCTATGAATCATTCAGATTTTAAGAATTCAATAGTGAGAATCTCTTTCCGCATTCATATGAATTAGCTGGCATCTGACAAGCATAAATTTTATTCGTAGCTAACTACCTTAGCAGCTCCAGTGCTGCTGGGGATTATGTTAAAGGAAGCAGCTCTTCCACCCCTCCAGTCCTTGTTTGATGGACCATCAACAGTCTTCTGAGTAGCTGAATGACAAACAAACAAACCGTTGATTAATATCTTAAACTGATATAAACATGAAAGCTTCTCAGCTATAATATTTTGCTAAATAACTCACCAGTGATGGCATGGATAGTGGTCATAAGACCCTCCACAATTCCAAACTTATCGTTGATAACCTGCACAAAATTCAGACTGGTAAGGAAAACAGGACAAGCATTAAGCTACAAAGTACTGGCAAATCATGTCAGAAGGATTCAGAAGGAAAACCTTGGCGAGAGGAGCAAGGCAATTGGTAGTGCAGCTAGCATTGGAAACAATGTCAAGCTCTGGCTTGTATTCCTTCTCGTTAACTCCGACAACAAACATGGGTGCATCTTTGCTTGGGGCAGAAATGACAACCTTCTTAGCACCACCCTAATCACAACAGAGATCCAAAATCAAACCCCTGCTAGATCTTGAATAACCTCAAGAAATTTAAATGTAGAAAACGGGATATCACACTTCAGATTTAAGAATGACATTCAAAATCAGGGAACAGTAGTCCTTATTGAACGGGGCAGGGGCAGAATAAAGTTAGCAGATAATATGGATCAAAGCCAGAACAAGTTTAAAAGAGAAAATTCAAACAGAGCCGATTCAATCACACGCCAGAGACATTCATTACCAAAAGTCTAGAGTGACAACAAATAATTCATCACAAGCAATCAGAAATAGAGATCGCGGCAAACCTTCAAGTGGGCGGCAGCCTTTTCCTTGTCTGTGAAGACACCAGTTGACTCAACAACATATTCAGCACCGACCTCAGCCCATGGGATCTCCTCAGGGTTTCTATTGCACAATCAATAAGCAATAAGAAAACAGTAAAGAATCATACAGGCACAGAGCATCGTATCTCTGATTCTCTGTGTTTCACACACATAAACACCACAACTACTTTACCTGAGTCCGAAAACAGTGACGGCCTTCTCTCCAAAGAGAAGGGTTTTAGAGTCCTTGACCTTGACATCAAAGTGCCTCCATTGGCCGTGAACAGTATCATACTTAAACATATATGTCTGTCAGAGCAATCAAATAAACAAGGTACATTGTTAGCAAAAAGCCAGAATCACACAAATTTAGAGTTCAAATTTCCTTCCACAATAAGGTCACAGAATCAATAGAAAAACCTATACCATGTAGTCGGTGTTAATGAAAGGGTCGTTGACAGCAACGAGCTCAACATCGTCTCTTTGAAGAGCCACCCTGGCCACCAAACGGCCAATCCTTCCAAATCCTGCACAAGCATATCACATTCCAGAAAGCGTTGAAAAAACACATAATCCATCACAGAAAACTCACCAAAAACAGATCAATAACATGAAAGAACATCAATTACCATTAATTCCGATCCTGATCTTCTTGGTTGGGGCTGCTCAGCAAGTAAAAAAAATCATGAGTTCATGCCATAACTAACATATTAACATTGAAATGAAGCGAAACCAATGAATCAGAGATCAAGAGGTGGATATCATACCCATGAGGGTAAAAAACGGCGTTAAGAGAGACTGGGATTAGAGTTGATGAGAGGTTTTGGCTGAGATTTAGCTTGGGAAAGAAGCGGAAATGGGAGGATTATTTAAAAAGGGCGGTTAGAATCCAGTGGGTGCGACCGTACGAGTCACGTGACCAAATTTTCTTGGGTAAAAAGAAAGAGCCTTCGAGCCGCTGAATTACGTTCTAAACCCGGCGTTAACCGCTGATTCAACACAACAGTTATGGAAGGTTACGTTACGCGCTGGATTGGAATTTGAGCTCACTTGCGACTCAGGAGCCGAACCGTTTTAAGGGAACATTGGAAATCAAGGTACGTAAAATCGGATCAATCATTGAACATGTCATGATACTGAGTCACAGGTTAGTGGTTCAATCAGGGTTGAATTGGGGGTTAAACCGGTGGCAAACTGATCATAATTAAAATAATACAGTTTAAATAAAAAGACATTAATTGTAAAAGTATTCAACCAAATCCAACCACTTAAAAGTCTAACAATAATAAAATACAATATTTTAAATATTTATCCTTACAATTACAACCCTTCAATCTCAAAAGTCTAGAGAAGAGATGGAGATAGAGTTGGAAAAAAGACAAAGATTGAGTTGGAGAAGAGACAGAGACTGAGTTAGAAAAGAGACGCTGATTAAGCTAGGGCGAGAGAGGAGAGACACGGACGAAAAGCAGAATTGAATTGCTGTTTGAAAATCTAGATTGGACATAGCATGCTCTGCCTCTAATTTTTTATTTTTTGACTTCAGTTTCATTTTTTTTTTTGTTATCTTATTTCTAAACTTAGCGCTCTGAAAAATCAAAAATAAAAAAAATCTCCCAAAACGATGTTGTTTTAGAAGTTTTGTCTGAAAAATAATAACCCGATTAACCCAGTCAATCCACCAGATTATTTGGGTTATATTGGGTTGAACTCAAGTTGATCAAGTTACACTGGTTCATTTCCTCATCGATTTAGAAGCAAACCTAGACCGAATAAGAGATTGAGTCATCGATTTTTGGGTTGATCAATACTATGCTGGAAACAGATAGGAGGTGCGCGTGGTAAGAAAAGATACACTGCGCGTGGGGGACATCGTGAAGGAAATGGCAGAATAGCATATCCCGGGTTCTTAAATCCAGGAGGAGCAGCTGGGTTCGGCAGAGAAGTTTGAAAAAATGAAAGTTACGAGAGAAAGAGCATGAATTGGATTGTGATTGTGGAATAATATGATGCGTCTGCCCGAATAAATAAATAAATAATTAAGAAAAAAAATATAGACATTTTTCTAAAACAAAAAAGAGAATGATAATAAATTCGCAAAAATAATTAATAACATATGAGTCTTTATATATATATATATATATATATTAAAATAGTTGAAAATAAAAATTCAAATAAAATAAGAATTTTAATTATAAATTAAGAGTTATACTTAAAATTTAAATATTTTATTCATAATTAAAATTTTAAACTTATAATTATTTAAATTGATATTTATAATTTATGAATTATTTGTTTTACAAATTTAACTGCCAAAAAAAAATGTACGTTGATATGTGGGCCTTTGGTCATAGAAGCTTCTAGATGGTCCTTTCCCCCACAAACCAGAGGTGACCTTGATTATTTTGGCTGACGAAGCCACTTGAATTTGATGATTCTTGTAAAATAAATAAATAAATATTTTTTCTATTTAAAAATATAAAATATTTTTTAAAAAGTTGAATATTTAAAAATATAAAATATTTTTAGTTTTTCGAGATGTAATTATTTTTTTTTTTAAAAGTGCTCATATTAATAATGATTTTATATTTATTATAGGGTGCTTAATAGAGATAAATATAAAACGATAAAGTTAATTGAAAAGTAAGTAACTATTTTATTATGAGATAAAATTTGATTAAAAATATTTTATATTTTTAAATGAAGAGAGTAAATAAGAAGAAGAATCCGACGACCATATTCAAAATTGTGTAATTATAATTCATATTATTGACACGTACTAAGATTTTAAAAAAAATTAAATAAACATAATTTATAAATTATAATTATTTTTCATAATATCGTCAACCATTCATGTTTTGTCATGGAAGGGTATGGTTAAATTTGTAATTATCTTTAGGTGAAAATAATTTTTAATGTCTGAAAAGTTAAATTGAAAATTTGAGAAGTATTATTTTTATCGTTTTTAAAGTAAATATTATTTATTTGATATTTTAAAAAATTAATGGTAACAAAATAAGCCATTATTTTTTTATTTTTGTAAAATACATTTCTGCAATATTTAAAATATTGAGTTACTATAAAATTGAAAATATTATTAAACATTTGATTTTTATTCTGACTATATTAGTTTTTGACATAATTAATTATTCATTAATAATATAAAACATTGATCATTCAATATTTTTTCATTATTTGTTGCACCTGCCAAAATTTTATTTTTATACACCCAATATAAATAGGAAATATGTAAAAAAAAAAAAGCCCATTAAGTATATAAAATACCCAAAAAAAGATGAAATAAATAAAAAAATTATTTTAAAAACTAAAAATTATGTTCTATTTTGAAAAATGCTATTGGAAAATAAATAAAAATTTAATAAATATCATTAAAAAAATATGTGTCTATTAAATTTTTTTAGGTAAGATCTTTCAATTAAAAAAATTATTATTATTAGTAAGTAGTAAATCACTAAATCCAACCTAACCCTCAACATAATTAGTTTGTTTCTGATAAAAGACGGTATGGCATCTCAAAGGTCGTAGAATATTCTAACGTGACAATGATATTTTCAATTTTTAAAACAATAAATTAATTGAAGAAGGAGTGTAAATTATTACAACATAAGTTTTTTTTTTTGGAAGAATTTGGGGCAAAGTTATAGTTTTAATTCATTTTCAAACTATCGGTTGAATCATATTCAAATTTTTATTGGGAAATCACATTTTGCTCATTTGCTGTCAAAAAATTGTAACCTTCTTTTGACATTAATTGGGTCTTTGACTCACTTGCTAAGAAAATGCAAAGTTGTCAAAGGCTGTCGTTGTCAATGCTAACGGGAAGTTGCTGGACTTATAAATTAAACAATTACGAAATCATCTTTAGAAGAATTGATTATTAATTAATTAAATTTGTATCATGTAAAATAAAACTCAAAGTTTGCCACAAATAATAAACGAAATAAAGTCTGTATTTTCGTTACAGCAAAAGTCAGCGGACATGAACACCTAAGCACCGATGCAATATTAAGTTTGCAATTATTGTAAATCATTCAATCAGTTATGCATAAAATAAATGTCACAAATGATAATTACGTGTCATCACATGAGCGTGATGTTTGACACCAATCTTCACGCTTTAATATTAATAATAAATAATAATTGGGATTTATAAATTTATACTACTAATTTGTAAATGTCAGTGATATACTCCCTTTGTTTTTATTGTTAGAAAAACTATCATTTTTTGTTTGTATTATTTATAAGCAAAATTACCCATTTTAAAAAGTATTTATTACATATTTTCTAAATCACCTTTCAATATTCACATTAACAAGAAACAATTTAATGTATACTTATGTTAACTAATACAAGACATTTTAGTCTACTTAGTTTATTTTCAAACATAATTATTACAATTAATTAATTTTTTAAACTGTATGATACAGTTTTCCTTTTTATATATAAAAATGGAGGGAGTAAGTAATTAGAAAAATGATGTAAGGTATATTTATAATGTACAGATGTAATAATGTAAATGATAATGATAAGTTCAAGCGAAAAAAAAATGATAATGATAAGTACTTCGACTTGTAAATTAAATTATGGTAATGAAAACTGCAACTAGCTAGTTGATTTGACCAAAACAATTGTGAATTAGTGGTTGATTTGGTTCAAAATATGAGAAAAATTAAGGAAAAAATGAGTCAAATTGGCCAAAAACTAATACTTCATCCCACAGTCCAAAATATAGAATACTTTTTAAGACAAAGGAGCAAAAATATCCATACATTTTTTTTAAAAGCACCCAAAATCCTTAAATAAAGGATAGTGTAACAATATCTATAAATTTTCTTTCATGAGTGCATATGTCCCCAAGTTGTGAAAAACAATTGATGTCCATTAATTTTTTTTCTTAAGCCTCACAATCCATGCTAGGTGGCTTTTATCCATCACCACATTGCCATCTTCTTCCTCCCTCGGTCTCCACTCTCTACGACGTATCTCTTTTTGCATCACATGCTCTTCCTCTAAACCAAATCTATGTAATCAACTATTCTTGGCACATAAGACCTGTTATTCCTTATCTACTATTCTTAGCCAGGACATGGAAAGAGAAAATAGACGAAAGTATTCATTAAACCACAATAACTAGACCATGGAAGGTGGATACAACTCCATGATCCTCCTCTAGAATGTAGATGACCTCTAGCTAAGGATTACATGAGGAAGGTGGTTACAGGGGCACTGTCTAAACTATAACCTATAGGCTATACAAGGAGAGTGTTGGGTAGGAATGAAATCTTATGTTAATTATACATAATGATTATATGATGAATATAATGTTGGTAGTTACTAAAAACTCCTCAAAATGGTTAAACTTTTATTAAAAATTGAGAACCCTAATTTGAAACTTTTTTGTATGTGGTACTTTTGGGCATACATATCTTTTTATAAAAATATTTTATAGTATAGTATGCTTATTTATACTAGAATTCCTCTCCGGGTATTAGGATTTAGCATCTCACCTCTTATACTTACATTTTTTAGGTAATAGTTATAGCTTGCCATTTGTGCTTGGTGATGAGGCTGGTTTGACCTAGGTTATTTTTATGCATGTTAATCTTGGCCACGTGATCTTTTTATTTGTTATAAATTACTAGAATCATAATTCCCCTTTATTATGATTTGTTGGTTTGTGGAGATGCCCTCTCTTCTGCAATCAGTCATTTTTGTTTAGTAAAGAGTGGATATTTTTGGGGCATGATCTTAATCTGGTCTTAATTTTGTGTTTACTTTTTAGTTACAAATTTTGAGTTTGTTTTTAATTAATCATTATCTTCATTTTAAAGGGTGTTACACTCTACATGTTGAAACGTGAAAGGCAATTAC